GCAAAAAGACAGTTTCCCTGGAATTAAGTGAAAGACTAACTCACGCTCTATGGAAGTTGTAAAAACAAAGCAATCATCATTTTTACTAAATGTCAGAGCCTCAGCTTTTCCTCTTCTGTTGAAATCCCCCAAATGACTAAGTATGTGATTCAGGTGATAGCAAGGGCAAGAAGGGTAGTGGGGATATAAAGAAATAAAACTCAAAGAGACAGAACCTCATGAAACAAAATGAAATACGAGGGACTACAGCATTGAAACGCCACGTCTATGAGAGGCAGATGATTCCTAGGTTTATAAATAAACCAATGGACCACTTAATTCCGATTCATACATATACAGGGCACTGGGGAAAAAAAAGAGTAAATTTTTTTTCAGTTTAATCACTACGTAAAGATATATGTGTGTATATGTATATACACATTTGTATATATTCATCCACAACAACTCTCAAGTTCACCTCCTTCTCTCCAATACCAAGGCCACCACTCAAATTCACCACCTTCTCTCCAATACCAAGGTCAAGTCTCTAACCTTGTTTGCCTGGATTACTAAGATATCTTCCTAACTGTTCTTCCTGCTTCAGGTCTTTAATTCACCCTCCCTGCATTTGATAAATTGATATTCATAAAGCAATGTTGTCAGTCCCCTTCTGAAGAATATTCAGTGGCTCCCTATTACCTCTAAGGGTAATAGAAGCTGAGTGGGCTCAGTGGCTAGAGCACTGGGCCTGGAGTCAGGAAGAACTGAGTGCAAATCTGTCCTTATAAACTTACTACCTGTGTGACCCTGGGCAAATCACTTAACTTCTGTTTGCCTTAATCCACCAGAGAAGAAAATAGCAGACCACTCCAGTATCTTTGTCAAGAAGACCCCATGGACAATATAGTCCACAGGGTCATGAAGAGTAGATACCATCAAGCGATTGAACCACGACAATGACAATGCCTCTAAGACAAAACAAAAACTCTGCTTGGCATTTGAAGCCCTTCACAAGCTAGCTTTAGTCTACGTTTCTGGACTCACTTCACACTGATCCCCTTTCGGCACGCTCTACCCAAACAGGGCTGCATGCTTTCCCCCAAAATTAGCATTCCCTTTTCCATTCATTGGATTCCTCTCTATTTTCCCAAGATTTTCAAATATTATAAACGGTATTTATTTTAAGCCCTGAATTCTGGATGTCATCATGTCACTCTCTTTGGAAGATACACGTGGCTTAGTTTCCTCACAATAACTCCATGAGGTATGTAGCATAAGTATTATTATCTCCATTGTGCAGATGAGAAGACTTAGGTTAAATGACTTGCCCAAGGTCACACAGTCATTAACTATAGAATAAGATACAGAGGGAACTCTCTAGAAGTTCCAATGTTCCTCTCGTAACAAGTCAGAGTAGACTTACAAGTTCACCCTTCTACTTTCTATTAAAGTCACACTAGGAGTCATCTATTCCATTCTGAAGTCCCATCTATGATCAGGGTCAATTGACTCTTGCTTATTTTATAATCTATTATAGTATAATTCCTCACTAACAGTCCTGTGATGCCGCATGATGGCATGATGTTCTCAAGGGCTATGCCAGCAGAACTCAACGTCTGGCAGGTCTTACCAACCTGAAAGACTCTGAGAACGGTTCTGCCAATATCTTTCCAACTTTTGTCTGAGGACCAAATTAACTAAATTTGGATACCAGGTTCATCCCCAGAATGGCAGCTCCCAAATAATGACGCCTTGTTTTTGTTTTCAGTCACATTGGCTCATTAAACAATCCATGGCATCATAGAAGGGCCACAACAGTGAACAGATTATATAAACTGAACAATCACAGCTCCTTAAAGTATTGATCATGGGATACACAGTGAATATGTGACTTTGAGAAGTTAATTAGCCTGGGATATTTAATGATCTAACAAATAAAAATTAAATTTGCTAAGTTCTGCTGGTTTCTTATTTTTTTTTAAAAGGAAAACTCAGTAGTCAAGGTATATATATCTAATCCACCCAGGGGGCACTTAATATATCTTAAATGATGCTAACTGTTTATGCCACCTACTTCACTGAATCATCCTTACTCACTTTTCCACAGCCTCTTCCTTACCTGACAGACTCAACGCCCAACATGCGTTCAAGCACTTTTCAAAAAGTAGGTGCCTTTAAACAATACTATTCTAAGTCAACCATTCTTATCAGAAAACAACACTCCTACTTTCTTTTTTTCTCTAGCAAGAAATGTGTTTCTCCCCAAATATAAAAATAGAACAGGACAGCACTGTACCTTTATACGAATATGTGACCAAAGAACGTCCCTCACCCCCAGTTTTGACATAAAAAAATGTCTCAGATGTGTCAATTCCAAGCTGTGTGTCCTTGAGTATATAATTTCACTCTTCGAGGCCTCAGTTTCCTCATTTGTAAAATGAGAGGGTTAAACCAAATGATTTCTGAAGTCCTTTTCAGCTCTAAATCAATGACCTTTATACTTACATTACCATGAATCCACTCAAAAATAATTTGTGGGCTATCTGGGAGATGGGCTGGAAGAAGGTTGCTCTAAGAGCCCTATTCACAACTACAGTAAAGTTGCCGGGATAATTTCTTGTGGATGTGATGTACATCCACATATGCCATAGCCTATGCCAGTATTCTGCACATGGACTTCTGCCCCCGTACCTCTGTCTCCTTTTACTCTGTGGAGCCACAGGATCTAGGATAATGTCTGTGCACATCTTACCATCCCTGTAAATTTCATCCCTGTACTCACAAGCAGGGGAAGGCAAGCCCACAGCCAGCCTCAGGAATATATGAGAACACAACCCTCGAGCCATCGTAAGGCTCTGTATTCAATAGAACTTCCCCGAGAGGCAGCACAGCAGAGAGAGGAGCATGATGGATTAGCAACAGGAATTCAAATCCTACCACCGACCCTTACGTTAAGGACTGACCATATGCAAGATACCTACGTGCCCAAAGTGCATCAGTTTCTTCATCTGTGAGGCAGGGATAAAAATATCTACATCACGTACCTCATTTCACAGGGTTATTGTGAGCTTCAAATGAGATAATTTATGTAATGTATACTGTAGAGTGCTATACATACCAATTATTATAAACTCCAAGATTCTCAAAATCTATACTACCCCAGTAACAGGAATGAGAGAATGTTTCCTCCTTACAGTTTAGTTATCTTATTCCCTACTCTTTTTTTATTCCTTCAGTTCTCACCTCACCACTAAGCTTCTTGTGATAGGTATGTAAGTCATATATTCCAACTTCCTCCCTCACTCCCACTCCTCCAGTAGGAGGACGGCTGGGACTATTTAGAGGAAGAAGAGAAATCAGGACTATTTCCATGTCAGAAAAATGCTTTGTGTAATAAGAACTTTTAGAGTATGTATGTGTGTGTGTGTGTGTGTGTGTGTGTGTATAATTTTTATATTTAATATTTTAGAGGATTTGCACTCAAGTCCTTCTTTGATGTCTCACTGTGGCAGGGAGTTGGCCTTGGGTTCTTGTAGGATATATCAGCAGAACATAAGATTTGGCAGATCTTTTATTGGCTATGGAGAAACTTTGAATATGGAGCGAGGACCTAAACATGTGTTTTTCATCCAAAGACTAGCCTCGCTAAATTCAGAGGCCACTACATTGATCTCAGGGTGATGGTTTTTCCAGTCAAAGACCATCTACCAAGTTGTAAAGCTGTAAAAAGAGGTTACAGCCTCAGTTGGTGGAGGAAGTATCCCCTATGACAAAATCCCAGATCTCTGAAATGAGTATTTTAGGTGAGAAAATAACACTACCATTATCATTTTTATACTGAATCCCCACTCCCACCCCCCATTCACATCTCTTAGCACACTAGGGTTCTGAGCAACAGCATGGAAAATGTTTATGTAAGGAGGGCCCACGAAAGCCCTTCTCTCCAATGTCTACACCAAACTGGTGCTCAACAGAGAGGAGAAAGCAAGTGAAAATGATACTATTAAACCACCATTTTATTTCAAGTGTGTCAGTGGTGCTTTGGAAAGGATCTCCCAGGATATTGAGTCCAATATCTTTTGTCTATCATGAGGCTGAACAGTTAAGTGGAGCCTGGGAGGCCACCAGCATTTTGTCTTTTAATAAAACTCCTTCAATGACAATAAGGATGATGATCAACAAAAAAACACATAGCACTTTAAGGTTTGCAAAGTGCTTTACATACATTGTCTCATTTGGTTCTCCCAACAACCCTGTGAGGTAGGTGCTATTATTATCCCCATTTTTCAGATGAGGAAACTGAGGGGGAGGGAAATCTAGTGACTTGCCTGGAATCACAGCATTCATAAATGTGTGAAATGGGATCTAAACTCCAGTCTTTTTGACTCAAATGCTCCATAGATGCCATTCCAGTAACAGAATGATGAAGGGTAAAAACTGCTGAGGCTCTTTCCTTTAACCTCATAGCAAATGTCTTGTTTAAGCAAGAGCATTAGTACTGTATGAATTTGTTGGTATAAAATTCCAAAAAGTAATAATAACTGAATTCTAATATATTTCCTAATTATTCCCGTAAGTAGAGAAACTACTTCAAATTGAACTGCAGTAGGTCCCTTGCTATCCGGGACACTACTGAAGCATCTCTATAATTCGATTATATGTTCAGGTCATCTCTACTGACTTGATTTTGGCAAGAAAAAGCTTAAGAAGTACTGGCATTGTTTTGAAGCAGCATAGATTTTATTGTTTTTTCACAAGGTCCAACCACCACTAAAAGAAACACTTTATCCTCCTGATGTATTAGCAAGGATTTCATACATTACTCCCTCACTCCCCCCCAACTTCAACTGATTCACAAATAAAGCAATAACCCCAAAGGGAAAACAACAACAATAACAACAACAATACTCATATTTCAAATGGACCTTGTGCTCTAGAAAATAAAATTTCACATTAGGTCATTCTAATCTTATGGAAAGGTAGAAAATCCATACAGTTTTAAAATTCAACGAGAGACTTACCTTTAAGAGTGCCAAAGCTACATGGAAGATTATGTTGAGACCCTGAAAAAGAAAAGAAAAGAAGGGCTAAACACAATTGCTATATTTATTACTATTTTTAATCATCTTTCCTGAATTTTTGCTAAAATTCCAAATAGCAATAACAAAATTTATAACTAAAATCCCCAATACAGATACATTAACTCGTCCTGAGGATCTGTATCTATCTAGCTAGCTAGTTAGCTAGCTAGCTATGTATAGAGAGGGGGAGAAGGGGCACATTTTCTGTCATCTTCTTATAAACTGTTATTATGCTGGGGGTACCATGTTTTATCAAATTTTAGGGTTGTTTCTAGCAGCCTACTACATGATAAAAGTCTTGCCTAGGATGACACAATGATTTGGGGAAAAGCCTAAAAACTGAAAGGAAATACTTCTAAATATCAAGCTTTAATATGTAATCTAATTTAACTAATTCATGAGATGAAAATTCCTATCCACCAAGGAAAACTTAATGGGGGCACTTAACTGGATTCTCTAGTTAACAAAAAGTTAAGGGAGAGATTGTTGCGGATAGCTCCTCATCTCCAAAGCTACAATAGAAATGCCCAAATGACCTTATATTTATTTTGCGTACATTTTCTCCTCTTAAAAAAATGTAAGTTTTTTAAGGATAGGGAGTTTAATTTTTTCTTGTGCCCAACGCCTGACAGAGTGCATGGCATATAGTAAGTAACTAATAAATGTTGACTGACTGTAGCAGAGAGTATCTTTACTGGATATGTCCAACATTCTTCCTCTCTTTTCTATAACTATTTATCCAAAAGATCCTACATTGTCAAAGTAATAAAGAACTAATTTGAACTATCTGTCAGATATTCTCTTCCTCCTTAGATTTTAAAATGATATAGTATCTTTCATGTAAAAAAAAAAGCTTCCTAAGTAAAATCAGAATCTTAAAATTAGGCAAAATACTTTTCGGGAAAAACAAATGAAAGCATGAGAAGTCATACTGGAGCTAAATATAAAGTCTCGATTCAGCCCAAGGAGTTTGAAGAAACATTAAGGTCATTAAGGCACAAAGGCAGAGAACGTTCATGGAAATATTTATAAAGTCAATGTTGCCACAGACTAGACCAAGCCAAGACAACCTGAAAGTGCCATAAATAATAAAATGGAGTTCTTCAGGACTTTCTTTCCTGATAAGCTCTTTCCTGGCAAGTTCTCCAGCACTTTCTTTCTTTCAAGCTCAGTACCTTCTAAGTCAGGGCACCTAGGTGGCACAGTGGATGGAGCACTAGGCTTGGATTCAGGAAGACTCATCTTCCTGGTTCAAATCTGGCCTCAGACACTTACTAGCCAAGTGACCCTGGGCAAGTCACTTAACCTGGTTTGCCTCAGTTTCTTCATCTGTAAAATGAGCTGGAGAAAGAAATGGCAAACCATGCCAGTATCTTTGCCAAGAAAATCCCAAATGGGGTCATGAAGGGTAGGACAGACTGAAACAATTTATAAGCAACAAAAACCTTTTAAGTCAATCTCAGCCAGACTACTTCCCTATCAGAGTACTATAGCAACAGTTTATTTATCTAGAGCAGGGGTGAGGAACCTGTGGCCTCGAGGCCATATGTGGCCTTCTAGGTCCTCAAGTGCAGTCCTTTAAATTCAAACTTCACAGAACAAATCCCCTTAATAAAAGGATTTGTTCTGTGAAGTTTGGATTCAGTCAAAGGGCCACCCTTGAGGACCTAGAGGGCCATATGTGGCCTCAAGGCCACAGGTTCCCCACCCCTGACCTAGGCAATAGGATGACGGATGGTGCCACTATGAGAAACAGTCAGGTCAGAAAGAAGAACAGGTTTCTCGAGCAAGATAAAGAGCTTCATTTTGAACATGAGTCTGCACTGCCGGTAAGCAATCCAGGGAGAGAGATCGTGAAGATGAGGGTTCTGGCTACCCCTTGTTCTCTGGCACACTTCTACCCCTTATCAATAACTTTCAGCCTACTTTTCTACGTCATTACCTTTCCTTCATCCTAGTTAGTATAACTTTATAAAACCACAATTGTATTTTAGATTAGAAAGAGATCAGATGCTACTGTCCATTATTGTCCTATATTCCCTTATCAGCATTGTTGTGATTCCTGACCTTTTATTTTTAAGGTAGAGGACTGACTGGAGGGAGTGAATATTGCAAAAGTCCTCTTATAGAATAGGCAAGTTTTGAGAACCATAGAGTTATGACGAGTGCTTCTAGTTTTCACCTAAAGCAGAAATTCCTAACCTTTTTTGGGTCATAAACCCTTCGGGTAGTCTATGAAGCCTCTGGACCCATTCTCAGAATAATGTTTTTAAATGACTGAAGGAAATGCTAAATTTCATTTTGAAGTTAATGAAAATAAAGGTGTAATTTTTTTCCCATCCAAATTCTCAAACTCATTGCAATATATCCACAGACTCCAGGTTATGAACTCTAGATAAGGAGTCAATAACTTTACGGTATACCCATTTGATAAATAACGGCTGTGCTGGTCAACAGATTGATGATGATGATGATAATAATGATGCTGATGGCTAGGTTTTATATAGTGCTTTAAGGTTTGCAAAGCACTTTGCAACTATCTTCTTTCAACCTCACTACTACTTTGGAAGGCAGGTGCTATTATTATCCCTATTTTACAGTCGAAGAAACTGAGGTAGACAAAAGTTAAATGACTCTCGTCCAGAGACACACAGCTCGTAAGTGTCTGAAGCCACATTTGAACTCAGGTCTTCCTGACTTCCTGAGCTCTATGCATTGTGCCACCTGGCCACACAATGTGTGTGTGTGTGTGTGTGTGTG